GGCTCCAGTCATTTTTCTCCATGCAACTCACTTTATTCCTCGTACGAATCTAGCTATTGGCCCATTCTCTCCATTTTACTTTAACTTCAAAACTAACTTCAACTTCAAATTAGGCTAATTCAAATTCAGTTTTAAAGAGCATTTATTCAAGTTAGAAATTCAGATTCAATGCAAGCAATTCAAATTCAAATTTAACTTATTCAAATTCCACTTCCGATGGCACAAAGTTCTGCCCATAGATGGCCTCAGTTCCTGCCTACGTCGTTAATAAAAACCAGCCTCTCGGTCTGTAGTTTGATCTGAGGTTCAACAAACATTTTTCTGCTTTGCTTTAGATTCCCAGATGAATTTTGAGGATCGTGTGACATAGCAGCTTGTTTTTATTTTCAGTTTGGACACGAAAGTTCAATTCAATTCAATTCAATTCAATTCAATTCAATTCAATTTTATTTATATAGCGCCAAATCACAACAAAAGTCGCCTCAAGGCGTTTAAAGTGTCAGAAAACATTCTGACACTTTCGTGTCAGAATGTTTTAAATTATAATTTGGAGGTTTTATCAGGGGAAAGACTTTAGACTCAGAGCACGGCAGAAGCCTTGTGTGACTGCAGAGCTGCATGCAGAGCAAGTGACACCTGAACCAATGTGCACAAAGGAAACAGAGGCTCGAGGCGGTGCTCAGTCGTGATGTCACAGAGTCACTAAGCCTTGAGCTGTGATAGGTTGCCCAAGGTCACAGGCTAATACGAGCTCACAGATGCACAGCAACGTCAGATCATTCACACGTTACAGCTTTTATCAGAGAATCAACTTCCTGAGAGACCTGTCAAAGAGAATTGAACAAACATTCACACTCTGCACCACAAACAGATCGAATCTGCATTTTAAAGGGGACATGAAACACTGAACACATAAAAGCTCATTTACCCCAGCATCACAGACACTCACACAGACGTAACTCAGTCTGTGACGCTGGCTTTAAGAAACAAGAGCTTAAAGTTAAAGTTTAAAACCATGTTTAGCGCCATCTTCTGTCAGCGTGATGTCATGTGGTTGGCTAACAGACTCAGATTAGTTTATATTAGCTAAGCTAGCTCAGAGTTAAAAAACAGAGTAAGGGGATCACTGTAGTGCTGCGGCAGTGAGTTTATGTTAAAGCAGGATATACTGTCAACTTTACTGTCTGTGTCTGTAGCAGGAATCTTAGCTTACACAGCACAGTCTGAGACAGGACAGCTGTCTCAGACTGGTGGGAGGACCCAGAGGAGAATACCCAGTCTAAACCACAACATCTCCCCATCAACAGCCAATCACAAATATTTCATGTTTTCATGGGTCTGATACAGGAGTCCAAACTTAGAGGAGCTGTGGGCCACTGCTGGCACCGTCGTGTCATTGGAGGGCTACTTTAGTATTCAAGTAGTACAAAATAAACAAGAAAACACCCACAAATATTTCCTACAATGTAGTGTTTGTTTTTTGTTTTTTTTTTTCAATTTCAAATATTGTACAACAAGACAATTTTTTTTTCACTCTTAGCTAACTGAAGCCTTTCATTGAACTACCAAATAAACACACTGGTCCTCTCTTTCTCTACATAGCAGCACTTCTATCATTTTGTTCGTATTTAACAAAATAAAAATGCAGACATTAATTTTTGACTCTCTCACTGAACTAACACAGCCAATCCCTCAGCAAATTTGCATGTAGACTCCTGGTCTAATATATACTTTGAATTATGAATCGTACTTCACTTCTCTGTGTGCACACTCCCTGACACAGTCCACAGCTGTGTGAGCCAAATCTTTACCTGCCTGATAGTATAAAGTGTCAACTACACTGGCTCCTGAACTCCAGCTGTAATGTTCTCGTTAGTAAAGCACTCTATGATTGAGGACTGTTTGGAGGAGAGCCTGTTTGAGTCAGGTGACAGGTGGTTACCAGGAAGGAAGTGATTTTTCCTCCTCTGGCCGAGAGCAACGAGCGGTGCATGATGTGATCAGTGCTATTTTATCCAATAAAATAATCTTTCTGTTCCCAAACAAATCATGTTATGTTTACAACATAACAGTTTACAAGCCAAAGTGTTTGGACTCAAACAGGCTCTGCTAGTAAAGTGCTTTACTAACCCCAAAGAGCAAACAGCTAACAGCCCCTACTGCTTAGCCTTTATATGTGTAGTGTTTCATGTCCTGTTTGAGGCTCTGCTGCAGGAAGCTCTCTGTGTGCGAGTGCTGAAGCAGGACAGACGTGTTCTCCAGCAGCTCATGGACTTTTCAATGAACCAGGGCTTCTCCTGCAGGCTGAGGTTAAGCTGCCCCTTGCCCACAGTCACACCCAAACTTCCTCTTGTTCTTTCTGTTTGTGAAATTATCTGTCAGACCTTGTCTCAGATAATCAGAGCGGTGGTAAAGCTGAACTCATTACAGGTTCAGACTGAGCTGAGTAAAGTGACTGGTTGTTATAAACTCAAAGCCTCATTCACTCAGGCACTTTCTTCTATGTGCAGTCACACACAATCAGCAACTCGGGATTAGTATTTTGCCTGAGGCATGTAGACTGGAACAGACGGGGAGTGAACCACCGCAGTTCTAATTACTATGTGAGCTGCTCTTCCTCCTGAGCTACACTCTAAATGACCAACACGATCAGAGGTTTAAATGAAGACATGCAGCACACAGACGGGCTCGTGAACACAGACTAATCCCAGTGTGAGAGAAACTACGTGCATCACAATCACATTCAGAAAGTTTAGTTTGACCATTAAAGGATCATTCTGCTGTATTTCTTTCATGGACCTGGGTCTCTGATGTCAGGTTTGTGTTTGGACTGTTTGAATCTAGTTGAAATGATATTCTACATTGGGTTAGATTCTCTGAGGGGTTTATGTCTGGTTTTCTTGTGCTTATAAGTTGTTATTAGATCGTTTAGTTTCTGGTTAGTTTCTGTTTAGTTTCTAAACAAATGTATGCTATACCTTCTAATGATACCGCCTAAGGGAAGCATGTATAATGTAAACAGAACTGGTTCTAGCACTGAACCCTGTGGAACTCCATAATTAACCTTGGTGTGTGAAGAGGACTCTCCATTTAAATGAACAAATAGGACTTTATTAGATAGATATTATACAAAACACTGCGCCACAGTATCTGTAATATTTACAGCATGCTCTATCACTCTAATAGAATATTATGGTCAACAGTATCGAACGCTGCACTGAGGTCCAGCAGGACAAGCACAGAGATGAGTCCAATGTCAGTGGACAGAAGAAGTAGTGATGGGATTCCTGGCTCTTTCGGCTCGGCTTACTAAAAAAGAGCCGGCTCTTTCGGCTCTGAACCGTCTCTTCAGGTTGTTTTGTTGCTTTAATTAATTTATTGTTAACAATAATATAAAATTTTGGACAAAAGGAATTACTAATGTAAAAAAAAGTGTTTTTATTTATATATGTTTATATATAAATATATGCGGTGGCCCCTAGACACAGAGCACGTACAAATTCCAAAACACATTCCTAACTTCAACTGAACTTCCAAAACAGAGCTACCTAGATCACTTAAATTATACAATTGAAAGCATATGTGTATTGTTTGTGTATTTATACACAAGCACTCATATATATTCAAATAATTAAAAAAAATGTTCATTTACCTGTTACTACCACACACCAAATACGGTCGTTGGTACTTGCTGGCTTGTGTAGCCACTAGGTAACAAAGCTCAACACTTCGCCCTAGCATCCTGGAGCACTTCTGTTGTCTTTTGTACATGTTTTGAGTTTTTATGTGCTTTTGAGTTTTTACGTGTTTTGGAGTTTGTACGTGTTTTGGAGTTTGTAGTGTTTGTACGTGTTTTGTCTCTAGGGACCACCGTAAATATACTGTAATTTATTCACTCCACATAAAATGTAATAAATAAATCATATAATACAAAAACCAACTATTCACATTTCAACTTTTAACTGTTTAAATTTTCAGCTTTTTCTTTTAAACAAATTTAAAGTGAAACAACACAAAACACTGCTAACCACAACACAATTAAATATAAATTAAAATATGAAAACAAAAAGAACATGCATATTCTCTGTCATATGGGCCTGCATGAATAAGCTGTCTGAATCCTTTATCATCTGCAACTGAAAATAGTTGTGGATGATTACTATACCTTTCTAATGTAACGTTGTTGTCCCTGGCTCTTTCTCTGTCTCTCCTTCCTGCTCTGTTCCTGTGCTACTGAGTGTAACTACCGCCCCTCCCCCCTCTTCCCAGCGCAAAGCACAAGGCTCGCATGCTGAGTGAAGCGGAAAAAAAGTGCGAGAGAGAGGGTGAGAGAAAGGGAAAAAAACCCCACGGCTCGCGATAAGGAGCCGGCTCTAAGAGCCATTTCGTTCGCGACCGACACATCACTAATAAGAAGATCATTTGTAACCTTCACTAAAGCTGTTTACTGTAAGTGTCGATCCACCGACGCACTGACTGATAGACAGCCTGCTCTTCCTCCTGAGCAACAGCTCATGTGTTTGTGAGGTTGTCTTTAAAGTATCGGCCTGTAGCATCCTGTATTGTGCTGCACAGATATGAAGAAACAACACAAAAACTGTTGACTCCTTAAACATTTCAGGAAAGTAGTCCAACATTTAGAAATCACAAAAACAGGAAGTCTCACCCTTCTGCTTTCTCCAGAAAAAGTGAAAAAGTTGCTGAGTATGGGAGACTTGTATGGTTGGCTGTGATTGGATGATGAAACAAGGTTAGATGGTTGGAAACAAAACAACCACACAGGAGTAAGAATGAGAATCATCATTTCTCCTGTCAGACTGTTTCTGTTCAAAGGAGACAAGGACAAAGAGAAGCACCACTGCTGCAGTATTCAGTGTGTTATTGTTAATTACGCCTTGTTATTGGATAAAGCACTGACTCTTCAGCTGTCAGAGAAGCAGTGATATCTCTGTAAAAACAGTAACCGCATCATTTAAACGAGCCTTTTATTTTCTAAGCAGATGTAAAAGACACTGAAACACCATCTTCATACGCCACAGCTCCAGTGGAAGTCCTCTTGTTTCTCATCATCATCATCATGGAGTCATCATCGATGCTGCTCTTCATCCTTCTCTGGACTGTCAGAAGGAGTGAGGTTCAAGGTAAGAAACGGCCAAATGACCGTGAGTGACATCATTAAATCATGCTCCTCGATCGTGATCTTTAAAACATGTCTCAGTTTCACTGATCTGAGTTCAAACCGATTTCAGCTCTAAGAGACATCTGATTAGTTCACAGCTTCTGCTCGTTGAGTTTATTCCACTCTCTCGTTTCTTTTGAATTCTTTTGTTTGTGTCAGCTTGTGGAGCTGTTTTTTTTTCCCACTGAACTGTTTTCATGTATTTATGATGTTGTTGTTGCTGCTGTTTTACGTTTATTTTAGTGGTAAAGCTCACAAGTTTTTTCATCACAGAGCTGCTCTAGATAACCAGGAGCTCTGTGAGTTCATCCTGTCTCCTTGTCTTTTTTCCTGCAGATCTGTCAGGGAAACAGTTCACATTTCCCAGCGACCCCAAAGGCATAAACCAGCCCCGCGTTGCTCTTCGTGCTAACACCCGCTTGATCACTGTCATGACTGTATGCCTTCGCTTCTTCTCCCAGCTGAACCGGATGCAGGGACTCTTCTCTTTGGCCACCCGAGACCACTCAAATGCTCTGATGCTACACAAAGACACTGAGGGGTCCTACAAGGTCCACGCGGGCGACGACACCTACATCTTCACAAAGATACCCACCAACAGGATGGACTGGAACTCGGTCTGTTGGACCTGGGACTCTCGGACCGGGCTGACCCAGCTCTGGCTGAACAGACTTCGAACCTCACGGAAGTTGGTGGGACAGAACTATCTGGTCAATGGTAATCTGAGCATCATTGTCGGTCAGGAGCAGGATGCATACGGAAGTGGGTTCGACAGGAATGACTCGTTTGAAGGTGACATTACTGACCTGCACATGTGGGACCGGGTGGTGTCTGCGTGCGACCTCAGGTCCTACATGAATCAGGGCTCCTTCTCTCCGGGAAACCTCCTCAACTGGAACAACTTGAACTTTGATGTGTCAGGGAACGTCTCCATCCAGGATGCAGATTTTGAGGAACCAGTCTGTCAGTAAAGTGTTCTTACTGTGAGCGTCGGGCATCAAGTTCCAGCTTCAAGCACTTTTTATGAAACAGCAGCCACTCGGTGGATGCCTCATGCTGGCTGATTCTGTGTCATAGTTTCCAGATCAATTAAAGTTCTGATGTCTCATTTTGCTCGGCTTAATTTATTTATTCACAAGATTTACACCAACATAATCCAGTCAGCACGTCACAGGTAGCGGAGGTAAACAAAGTCACTGCTATATGGTCACACCTGCACACTGAAGCCAGCACGCAGGTGTAGATTATGCATTTAAAAGCATCAGGGTTAGCATTTGGTTGCTGCCATTTTAGTGAGAGCTAAGCTATGAGCTAATGCCAGCAAGCTTATGATGATGATGAAGCTTTATTTGTCACTTGCAGTTGCCTGCAGCGAAACTGGACCTCTTCTCTCCATACATATGTTACACAAACATCACATCAGGGAGACAGGTCAGAACAGGTACCGAAAAGAAAAACAATGTACAGCACAGTAGGTGGTGGAGGAGAGTAAAAGACAACTCTACTCGGACTGAGCTCCTGGTAGGAGATTTGAGGGGAGTGTATGTCAGTGTCTGTATACGTGTGTGTGTGCATGTGTATATGTTTCCTGTGTTCAACTGAGAGAGTTTTCATTCACCCGGTTTAGCAAAATTAAACAGTCATGTAGGAAGTAGCGGTTTTAGATACAGGCGACACAGGCGGTTGCCCGGGGCGGCATCGTGGTGGGTGGCGGCATCACGGGCATTGGCAAAAAATAATAATAATTTGCTCGTACTCATCCTGCCCCGACGTCAGCCAACACATTTTGGGAATGTCTATCACCCATTTGCTGGGAGTAAGGGCGCCCTCGTTTGCGAGGTGTGCCTGCTGCTTGCAGCACAGGGAGGAGAGGGCAGCGTAGCGGGGGATTCTCTGGCTGGCTGGAGCAGCATTTAATAACCAACTCACAAAAGAAAAGAAAAGAAAAACAAACCAACAAACACGAAAACACCAGACATCATGATACAGACTTATAATCTGCACTGATGTTTTTTCGAAATTCTGTATGCGAAAAGTGAGCGCAAGAGCAATCGGTGTGCCTGCACTTTATTGCTATCTCCGCTACATACAGTCCAGTATATAGAGAGACGAGACGACAGGGCTCCAGTTACAGCAATGCAAGTAAACAAACAATAAATATAAGAAGAGTAAGAAAAAAAATATACACTTTAGGACTAGGGGTAAAGGGATCAATAACAATTTAAAATTTAGATTTTACAGTTTGATGATTTAAAGTCTCACACACAACCTGTCGAAAGACGAGGGGGGGCCGGCTGCTTCCAAATAGAGCACATTTCATTCCACTGCAGGGCAACCTGCCACTGCATGTGGCGAATAAAATTTGAACTTGAACTTGAACTTGAACATTTCATTCATAATGTTGTAAATCCAAATCCATTATGTATTCATGATTTGAATCCTGGGTTGTGCGAAATCCCAGAAATAAACCCTAGACAAAGTGAATCTGTGAACTAAGGTGTAGGCTTATTAGGTTATGTTTTGGTCAACCTCGGGTTAGGGGATGGGTGTTCATACCGGAGTGCAAAATGAAAACCAATGGAAGATGGACAAGAAAAGTTCAAAGCCATCAGGAGCTCCAGAGGGAGTGTTCGCTCAGGGCGCCAAACAGGCTAGGACAGGGGTCGGCAACCCGCGGCTCCGGAGCCGCATGCGGCTCTTTAGTCTTTATTTTGCGGCTCTGGGTGGTTTGGGAAAATAAATTAGAAGTATTTAGCTGAAGTGTATTTTATTTGTGTTTAGTTCATTTTTTAACTTGTAGTTCTAAATTGGAAGATTATTGTGATTTTGAAATATAAAAATAAAATTATATTTTATTATTTTTTCATAGCTCAGAATAAGCGTCACACTCGCGGAAGCCGGTATACCCACCGAAACGCCGTGCATTTATCGAGACTTTCAACCCCAGGTAGGCCGATTATGGATCTTCGGATCCACATTATGTCAGCAGCTGTTCTCGACCGTGAACTATGTTAAAAACAAACACCGCTCACGCCTCACAGATGACAGCTTACAGTCCTGCGTAAAGATGAAAGCCCCGATCTGCAGACGCTGTGCGCAGAGGTTCGGGACCATAAGTCCCATTGTAAACATATCACGGCAGACCCGACGATGTTTGAATGAACATGCTTTTCAGCATCTCTTTATTGATGGCTTTTCACACACGGTTGCTGTACGCATACAGCCGGCTGTAGCTTTTCAGCTCTCTTCAGAGAGAGCGCAGACTTTAAGGCAGCAATGCATGATTGCGGGTGCAGCTCAGGTGTGTCCGCCTCCCCTGCAGCGGCGCTCCAGACCACGCCCCGCCACACACATTAACCAGGTAAAATACATATTTAGGCAGAATTTTGCAAATATCTATTTTTTTTTTTAGCAGCATAGAGCTTTTTTTCCAATTACTTTTTAAAAGTCAGGTCAAGGCTCAACATCAACTAGATGTCTCCCCCTGTCCTGTCGGTGGCGCTGTCACTTGGTGTTCGCTCGCTCTGTGGTATAGTATCGCTTCCTGTTCCTGCTCAAACACAGTGGTGTTTCTGAGTAGCTTATTTGCTTAGCAGTTTAATTAACAACTTTTAAATACATTCTTTTTTTTCCACAGTATAATCTTCACGTGCTTCATCC